ATGGGACCACAGCAAGATGTCGGAGTGTCTGGAGCATTTTTGGTTAGTCCTTATGTGTCCTTATGTTTTCACCTGTTTGGGTTAGAGGCAAAGAGGAATTTTCAGGTTGGACTTTTAGGTATTGTGGCAAAAACAGTTTAGAAATTTGTGGTGAGGAAAGACAAATTGCCATTTGAATGTTGGTATATCTTTTCTTTGGAAATATTTATGTACTCATTTTATATGTTATCTGGATCGATTCCTTTAAATGGAGACAAATGGCTAAGCATGAATACTGATATCTTATCCACAGGCTGACATAAAACCTCAGACCGATGGGAATAATGGAAAAGTCCAATATAATTTAACCCCGGAGATCATGGCTTCCGTGTTCAAGACATACCCAACAGTCAAAAAGAAACACTCCGATTACGTCCCACACAGAATGACTGAATCTGAGTTTTGGACCCGCTTCTTCCAGTCCCACTATTACAGTGTCCACACCACTAGTCGCAGTGAAAATGTATTTTCAGAATGTGCAAAATCTGATGATAAAGGTACTTCATATTTCATTCTGTTATAACTCAGCACCTGCTGCCTAAGGGTCTTAACCTGTATGAATGTTCCCAAAAATTCTTATGAACAGCTTTTTTTGAACTTTTTGTGATAAAGAATTTTTAGATTTTCCTTTTTTTCCATGTTTCAGTGAATAAAACTTGGTTAAATGGTGCAGATGCCTTTATCTTCATAGGTTCATTAAGGGCCAGTATTATGCTGTTAGAAATTCTTATTTTGATGAAAGATTCCTAATTGTTTTTAAGTACATATATGACAAAGTTGACCACAGAATACTTTGGGAAGGTTATACTAAACAGTTGATTATAGAAACTGTCTTCACACAGAGGCATAAGGACTGTCACAGTATCATTTGAAATTTTATTTGCAGGGTACTATCCTCAATATTTATATAATTACCATGATGCTATCCTCATTATTTATTTAATTACCATGGTACTATCCTCATTATTTGATTGCCATGGTACTAACCTCATTATTTATTTAATGTTCACCCACTTCGTCTTTTCCACCCATAACATTGACAGAATGGAATAGGGATGTGAACTCAATACAAAATGACCCACTGTATGATTTGAACGACATTTACGATGGAGAGAGAGTCCACTCCGTCGAAGGTGATCTGAAAGTCGCAGGACCTAAAGCAGGAAGTAATATAATTCATGCTACTATGATCAAAAGGTGAGAACATTAAAGAATTTTGTTCTTAAGTATAGAAAAGATAAGAGCTGATACAGTTAGATATATTTCCAATATTTGAGTGGCATTATTTTCAATTAATTTATGTACGTGTAATGGTCAGTATTTGGACTCTGTTGTTAGGAGTATCTCGTTGAGTACATACATGATTCTGTTCACTGCAGATTTAACCAGCACAGTCTGAACATTCTTAAAGCACAAAATTATTCCGAAAAAGAGAAAATAATGGACGAGATAGCGGCAAAAAATCCTAATGGTATCCCAAATGGTGAAGCAAATCAGGAACCAGATCTTCATTTACACAAGAGTAAAAAGGTCAGAGAGCATGTCAATCGCCACCACCCACCATCACCATCATCGTTATTGTCATCACTATCATCGTCCTCATTATCGTAGTCATCATCATCATTATCATCATCATCGTCATCTTCACCATTATCATCATCATCATCATCGTCATCTTCACCATTATCATCATCATCATCATCTTATCTACTATCGCTTGGTTTCCCTCTTCCTCCTCCTGTGTCTGTCTATATATATATATATATATATATATATATATATATATATATATATATATATATATATATATATATATATATATATATATATATATATATACATATAAATGTTTACGTATATGTATATATATGTTTATATGTGTGCGTGTGCGTGTTAGAGAGAGAGAGAGAGAGAGAGAGAGAGAGAGAGAGAGAGAGAGAGAGAGAGAGAGAGAGAGAGAGAGAGAGAGAGAGAGAGAGAGAGAGAGAGAGAGAGAGAGAGAGAGAGAGAGAGAGAGATATGATTTCTACAACCTTGAAATATTAAATAGAAGTACAATTAATCTGTATTTTTTGTCATTAATAGGTCAGAATAGAAGAGAAATTATCATACGATGACTTGGAGAATAAAGCCAACACAGAGATTACCTCACTCACCATTCATCAGAAAGACCGGTACCTCACAGGCCCCACTGAGGACACCACGACGCATGGTTTACCACCTCGACAGGTCAGTTTTCCACCGTTATTTTGTTGTTTATTTTTTGTTTGTTTATTTTTCTTATTATTATTCTTGTTTTCATTGTGCTCTTAGTCTGTATTATAACATTGTTATTTATTTCACATTATTAAGGTGGATGGTTATGATAGTGGGAGGGTTAGTATATTGATCTGATGATCCATGGAGCATTCGTAACTAAACTTAAATGTAAATTTTTAGGAAATGTAATAGTAACAGGGAG